TATGTTTTCTTACTCGATTTGGCAACACCGCAATTATAGAAACTAGACACATCAATTGTCATTAAAAATAATTTAATGTTTATTTATTTTTCTAACAAACTTAAAATGAAAAATAAGAAAATTTGATTGTTTATGAAAAAATTTGGTACGGTTTATTGCTCTATGAATGGTCTTATATTGATATTTAGCCGTTTCTACAACAAGAAATCAGTGAAAATGGTTTATTTCACATTTGTTTTATGATGGAGACTGGACAACAAATTTTAAGGATTTTCAGGAATTTAAGGTAAAATTTTTTTTTTTAAATAAGTGTTAGCGGACCCAAAATTGTTATGCATAGTGTGTTTCCAAGTGTCTAGAAACTCTTTATAACATTTCAATAGTTATATCCGCCGTTCGAGTGTCGGCGTATAATACAATAGTAATGTACAAATTTGATCTGTTGTGCTTTTTTCAAATATGTTTGTAAGTTTTTCAAACATATCTTTGGAAGTTTCGCAATCTATAATTATTAGTTTTTTATCAATTGTAGTTACGATCAGTTTTTGTGCTTTTGCATCTTTCTTTAACCAATTTGCTTTATCTTCATCCTTTGTTAGGGCATTTCGTAATTCTTTTCCATTTATAATTCCGTATAGGTCATTTGCTTTAAAGGTAACAATTATTTGAAACTTCCATATTTGATAAGATGTTTCATCAACCAGTCTCTCTATATAGGCGGTATCGTCAGAATTCATCTCCAGTTTCCGTTTTATTTTTACCTTTTTATTTTTATATTGGGCGTAGTCCTGGGCCCATAACCTGTCAAAGGTTTGGTTTTATATTAATTGTAGTTTTATATTTAATAAAAATACTATTCTTACTTTTAATGAAGTTTTATTTTTTTATTATACTTCACATTGGCAATCAATAATATTTTAACAACTACATAACAACTATAAAGTCTCTAGTCTTCATAATGACAACCTAAAAATATTATCTTAACACAATCTTGGTATCGACAAATTCAAAAACTTGGACTTAGCCAAGAATATAAAAATAAAAATTCTGAAAATGGTAAATGGCTGAGATATTGCTTTGGCCTCCTATTTTTACAACCCGAAAAAGTGGATGATTTTTATTTCCTGGAACTGTACGAGTTAAAACCCAATAACGAATGTTAAGAAAAGTTTTCCCGATTATCTTTTGAAAACATACTTAACAAATGAATCAAAATTTCCTCCACATATTTGGGCAAATGCATCTGCAGACCTTAACAAGACAACAAATGCACGTGAATCATTTTATTCACATTTTAATAATTCCTTGTATCAAACACATCCAAATTTATTTATTTTTGTAAACGAACTTTTATGTGTTCAATCTGAAACTTATATTAAGTGCAATAGCATTAATACACCTCACAGAAATAATACTGATACAAAAAAGAAACAGAATTTTATTGCTAAAAAAATATCTGACTACAAAAATAATAAACTGACTACACTTGACTATGTGAAAATAGTTGCGCATTATTACGCATATAATAACTAGTGGTCCTCTTGTTCGTCAAAACTTTATAAACTAATTAGGTATATCTAGTATTAAGTTTAAGATATAGCTAGTAGAATGTCTATCTTGTAGTTTTGTAATAAATACCGTTTTAAAAGAAATTTAATGATTGTTTTATTATTGTCCCTGTACATTCTAAAATGTGATATAATATAAAACAAACAAAAAATAAATAAACAGAGTTCTGTAAATATTGTTAAAAAACAATTAATAATATATGTATAATAAATTATTGAAATTATTCCTCAGTAAAAAAAAATGTGTCTATATGGGCTATACATAACAGCATAGATATGTGCCGACTTGGGCTATATAGAAAAAAGTACCTGCATAGTTATGTGCCGACTTGGGCTATATAGAAAAAAGTACCTGCATAGTTATGTGCCGACTTGGGCTATATAGAAAAAAGTACCTGCATAGTTATAACTGTACCGTTTACCTGCTTGGTGTGCCGAGTTGGGCATCGCCCTACTTGATGACCTAATATCTCGTCAATTGCGACCCCCTGCTGAGATAAGAGTGCTCGATAATAAAAGCACAGCTTATACAATACAGCTAAAACACTCTCTTGGCGGCAACGGTTTGCTTCGATTTCGTCGCGCATCGCTTAAGCTCACTACCTAGAATGGATATGAAATATATTCGTTCAATTGAAGGCAATAGCATACTTTTTCGTTTTGTAATCTGTGCATGGATATTAGCCAATCTACGCACATACTACAAAACGAAAAATTATGTTATTGCGTTCAACTACGAATATATTTCATATCCATTTTAGGTAGTGAGAACACTTTAACAAAATTAAATCTACAAATCACAGTTCATATTTTGGTCACCCAACTCCTATTATTTAAAAATTTTTAAATAAGTGATAATTCTGTTAAACTAATTGTCAATATATATTTTAGTTATTGATATTAAATATACATTAAAATTTTTGTGTAGACTCGATAAATAATAGCATTTTTGTTTTTATGATGTCCACATTTAAAAAAAAATAAATTTTAATCAAACTACATGATACTTATTTAATTACGAGTATTAAAACTAAAGTCCTGAAAGTTTCGGTGAAGATGAGGACAGAACATCTGCCTTCCATGCGAAAAGCCCGGGATCGAATCTAGGCCGAGGACTAATTAATTTTTCATGTTTATTTTATTTTATAAATTAGTCAACTTCGTAAATTATTTTAAAATTAGTTATTTTGTCTAAATAACCTAAAATAATTTTTTAAATTTGTAGATTTTCGTTAGTGGGTCGTAGAAAAAATATACTGACCATATCGAGTGGATTGTTCATATCACAATCAGACGATTGAGTACTCCGCCTACGACGTCGTGCTCAAACTTCGTCTTTGTGTGATATGGCTATCATATCCACCCTTGTTGAACAAACTACAATTTATTTGTTTTCTTGGTTTAAGTTTTACATCAGAAATAAGAAATAAATTAATTTACTTTTCAAGTTTTTTTGTAAAAATCGATATTACTTTCTCCAAGTACAAATTTAGTACCTACCTAAAATAAGTACTAATTATGTAATATCGTGTAATATTGTAATTCAAATTTCACATTACTATAAAGTTTCAAAATTCCCTACTTCGGTATGGTCAGATAAAAATTGAATATATTATATTAATAAAAACTGTTAAAGTATTACTTCTACAAATCTGTATTTCAATTAATAAGAATACATCTAAATATAACCAATATTGTTAAAATAAAAGCACAAATTCTTTATAATTCCAAAATACCATAGAGTTCCCAGACCTCAGTCGAAGCATTCGTTTATCTAGGTATAAACCCTTTGCGCGAAGAGTAACACTTGCCAGAGATACGGGGTACCACTTGATTTGCATCCACGAGCGTGACACATTTCTTTAACAATTGAAGCCCTTGGTGTAAAAAGGATCCAAGTCACAATTTGTCGTGAAGTGACTGTTTTAGCTCAAAACATTTGTTAACGAGGATTTTACTAGCCACATACAAATTATTTTACCTCTAATCCGAAAGATGTGCTATTTTTCGTAATATTTATATTTAAATAATTTTTTTAATTATATTTGACAGATTTAAAACAAATTAAAAATTTAATTTTCCAAAACTTACTTAACATGGCATATAACCAACCTTATTACGTCAAGGTTTTCAATTTTTTCAATAATAAAAAAATTGCTTAATCCGGGCCCGACTTTTCCCTTTAATCTAACAGAGATAGCACCATTCCGTCTTGATTGGTTCTCGACCGCCAGATCAAAGACGCCGACACGGAGTTGTGGAGCTGTATTGTATAAGCTGTGATAAAAGGTTGAGCTCACAATACGAAACTAAAGATAATGTTGGAGTAGAACCTCACAAAACCGCAGTCCCCCTATTTGTCCTTTTATCGGATACATGAATTGGTTAAAAGACAGACGTAATCAAACAAAAAAAAATTGTTCCTATGTGGGATAAAGAAGCAGACTTCGCAGTTGCACGTCTACGATATTTCCCATATTCAAGATATGAACAAATGTCTGTGATTCAAATTTTTAAAGAATTTATAGACGCCATATCTATTTTTAAACTGCCCTGATCCTCAAATCACAGCCGATGAAATTAGCAATTTTATTCGTTAATAGATATAATAATTTGTGTTTAAAATGCAATGTAGACAAATTGTTTCGGACCCTTTCATTCACGTTAATTTGGTATAGTTCATTACAGTTCACGTGCTTAATTTTTTTTTTATTTAACGTTAATGTTTGCATTCAAAATAAAAATTTTGTTCGAAGAAAAACAAGAACGCTAATAGGTTAATACTTTGGAATGCTACGATGCCCGGAACAAAGTTTCTTTGATTCTAGTTCTGGGATAAAATGGCGTTGAAGGTAATCAAAAAGCAACTTGCTAATATGAGAGCCGAATTTTAACAAGTCCTGAATTACTTTTTTGTACCTTCATATGTTTTACTTATTACATTAACTTGGTCATTACAACTAAATAATTACAATTATTTTGCTATTATTATTATTATTATTATTAACATTTTTAATATGTTTAATCTGTTTTTAATCTCATGTGATTTCACTTAAAAATTAAAATCGTCTCTAAGGTTGCTTATAACACTTAAAATCCTATCTTATTGGTTATTTTTACTATCATTTCTTCAACATTGTAAAGTTATACTATTCTTATATGTCTGATTATGGTTAAATTTAACTAAAACTAGTTATCTTTGAAATTTTAATATATTTGTGGTTAAGTATTATTTTTCTTGTTAATTGTTAATTATTTATATTAGTTAGAAGCAATCCCGGTATTATAGTTGACTCTTGTATCTGAAAGTCCCGATTTTAATCATAGAGCCAACTAATTACACTTTTAAACGCATTAATGATTAAATTATACATTTTCAAATTTTGTAAAATACCAAGCTTTACTTATTTACATACAAATATTTAAACTTACCAATCTTAATCCTCTGAGTACAGACAATCCATCAACTAATTCGAAAATAAGATCAAGTAAACTAGCAGACACGATGATGAGGTCGAAAATATTCCATCCGCAGTGAAAGAAGTCCTTACTTAAAGCCATGATCTTCAGGCAGCATTCGAACGTAAATATGGAAGTAAAAACCTGAAAAGAAAGCCATTCTTTAATTCATTTATTTTTACTGGTCGTGTTTAAAAAACCTTTTTATTGACAATTATCGAACATATTTTTTTTATTACTATTATTTTAATCACTACTACCTATTATGCAATGTTGACATATCTTACTTTTTAAAAATTTGAAAATGGCCATAGTTTTACTTTAGTTTTACTTTACTATCAACAGCAGCTTTTTTCTTTAGTTTAGTAATTTAATTGTTAAGTATTACGCAAAATCTAGGCTTTAAAGTAACAAGGATATTTCTGAATAAAAAAAAATAACAGCAACTTATTCATATATAAACAATTATTTGGTGTTCTTATGTTATTAATATTATGTTATGCAAATAATACATTTGTGTTAAGTTAATGTTAAGTCATTTCAATTTGTATAATAAGTCATAACTTATTATTAATAATTATGGAGTAAAGGTATTTACCTATACTGCCTATGTGTTAAGATTTCTGCCTTTTTCAATAAAAATCTTTGCCTTTATAAGCGTCTTTTTCTTTAATTTCTTGGCAGGTCTGTAACCATGTATGTTGCTAAAATTGTTTTACTAATTTTTGGATGTCTTTGTTAAAGTTACTGATATTTATTGGTTTTGATTTCCCAGCTAGGGAATCACCTGTTTTTTCTGAATATTTTATGTTTTGTTTTGATAAATTTCCCGATGTACATATAAAAGCAGTTCATGCATATATTTGTTTGCAATTTTTGCGATAATTCCTGAGACTTTTGTGTAAAAGTTATTGGCTTAATATGCTTCCATACTTATTTATGTTTAACAAAAAAAGTAATTTAGATCAAATGATTTATTTATTTTATTTATTTATTACAATGCTCTACAGGCAAACCCAATTAAATAGCAGGAATAAAAGAACACATACATTATGTAGAGTAAGTGATACAAAATATACAAAAATTTGTAAACAGCTAGTACGTAAAATACAATGCAATTCAATTTTTTTTTTAAATTTAGGAAATGTCACTACTCACACTAGAGAGTTATTGCAAGTTCACTTAAGGTCAGTCACTATTAGTGCCGCTCTTATTTTGACATCTGAGCATGCGTAGATCACTAACTTTAATAAAGATTGTGCCTGTCCTTAATAGAGAGATATTGCAAATTTCTATAAAGCCAGCCACTAATAGTGACATCGTAATTAGAGTCAAATAAATTCCATGCTAAAATCAGAATAATTGCAAACCTAAAATTTTGACATTAGAATCCTCGTCCTTGTACTTATTTCTAACCTTATAAGGTTTAAATGACGATTATATTAAATATTTAATATTAAAATACTTCTAACGGATACGAATGTCGCCGAGCGCATCCGAAAGCTATGAAGTCGCCACTACCTGCTGCCCTTAAACATCCACAATTAAGGACAGGCACAATCCTTAATAAAGTCAGTTTTAGAAAATAAACATCTGCGCATGCTTAGATGTCAAAATAAGAGCAGCACTAATAGTGACTGACCTTAAGTGAACTTGCAATAACCCTCTTATTAAGGACAGGCACAATCTTTAATAAAATTAGTGATCTGCACATGCTCAGATGTCAAAATAAGAGCGGCACTAATAGTGACAGATCTTAACTGAACTTGCAATAACTCTCTACTATTCACAACGCGGCTAATAGCAAAGTATATTAACCGTTGAGTAGCGACATAAAGCGTCGATGCCTTTGATCTTGATCAATTTTTTTACCTACGACCGGATGAGCTAGAGACTTGAAAGTTGGTAGGTGCACAGGGTTTTGATTTTTGATAACAATAGAAATTATTACTTATGGACCTTCTTATTTATTAATCGAGTTGTCTCAAACTTTAAATTTCGCGTTGTTTAAACATGTCGCTGAATACAATTTTTGACTAATAAATCCACAACAACGAATTCCTATTACAGCTGCCGGACTAAAGTGAAAGGGATTGTTTACATCTTTAGAAGACGTCTCGCCTCTCTATTTCGCGTCGGCGCACTAGAATTCGGTTCCTCAGCTGTCGCTACTCAACGGTTAATATACTTTGCTAATAGTATGAAATGGAGAATTTTTCAGAACATTTGTGCGAGTTACAGATATGTGAAATATGTCAGAATTTCTAGAGGATACTCTCGGAATGCAGATATCAATTTTTCTCAACAATTCAGGAGAATCAATTAAATCGTTAACAATTTTAAAACCTAACATATAACAATAATATTCACGTCTTTTCAAGAGGCTTAAAAGTGATATCTTTGAAGAAGATTTTGGTGTGGTCTTCCAACTGGCGGATAAACACCATCCTCCTTTAAACACAGTTATTTTAGAAACCGCCTTTGAACTGCTTGAATTCGATCCGTGGGAAGTTGGTAAAACGGACTTTAGACGACAGACGCATACTTTAATCTTATAAGAGAGTAATATAACGTTTTTAATGTGGCTACATCTTTAAAATCCCTGGTACAGTAAGTCATAAAACCATACATACGATGTTTCAATCATTTTATGAATGTGACATATAAAGGTCAATCTGGGATCAAAAATTACCCCTAGGATGGGGTGCTGCATTGAACACACACATGCATTCACTAGAAATTCTTCAGAAAAGGTTTTTGAAAATTATTTTAAAGAAAGAAAGAACATACCCTACAAGTTTATTATTTAAAGAAGCTAAAGTATTTAATATACGTCAATTGTATTTTTTTAAAGTTGTTATGAATTATCATACTAAACAAATATTTCACATACGAAACCATTCATATAACACACGCAAACGGCTTCACTTAATACCGAAAATGCAAAAATCAATTGGTCAACGATCATATATATATCAAGCTCCAAAATTCTATAATATAATTCCTGAAAACGTTCAATCTATAAGAAATGTCTATCATTTTAAGTCATCTCTAAAAACATTTTTGTTTGAAGAAGATTTAATTATTTCTATTAATTTTATTATATAATTAGTACATTTCAAAAAATATAATAGTATACTTTATACTACATTTATGTTATTTTTAACTTTACTTACCAGTCGAAACAAGCGTTTGTTCGCTTATCGACAACTTTATATTTATTTTTCTTGTACGTATATTTTTTTTTTACTTGTTTGTATTCATGTTTTTTTGAAAAATAAATATTTTTTTATTATTATTATTAGATCTGTAAAAGTATGTGGTCGTTGAAGTGAGACATTATCTATTAAATAATTATATTTCATTTGGTCGGTTTTTAAAATAAAAGACATAACTTTACGTTTAATTGGGTTAAGTTCAAGTTTATTATTATTATTACACTATTTAACCACTAGATTAAAGTTCATGTGAAGTTGTTCATAGTCGCCAATACTTGACACACGCTTGAATAATTTTAAATCTTCTGCATACAGTAGAAGTTGCTCTTTAATTACACTCAAGATATCATTGATGAAAATATTAAATAGTAACGGCCCCAGAATGGAACCCTGTGGAACTCCAGATGTTGTTGCAAATTTGACAGACTTAAACCCATGAAGCTGTAGAAACTGAGTACGATTTACTAAATAGCAATGAAAGAGATTTATTAAAGGGGGGACAACTCAAACCCTGTAAGTTTTCCAAGAAGAATACCGTAGTTAAGTCTGTAAAATGCCTTTAAGAAATCTGTGTAGAAGACATCCATCTGGGTGCGCTCATCAATAGATTCAGCAATGTATTGTGTGACGGTAACCAGGTTGGTGACTGTTGAGCGACCTTTCATAAACCCATGTTGATTGACTGATAGCATTTTATTTCAAATTTCAAATATTTTGAAGAAATTGCATATTATGGATATTGGTCTTTTATCCCCCTTTTTGAAAACTGGACATACTTTTGAGGTCTTCTAAATATCTGGAACTGCTGATTTCCTGAGGCTAAGGGAGGACCAAGTTGAAAGGCACAATCCTTTAAAATAAAAGCTGGAATATGGTCTGGACCAGTGGTCTTTTTTAGGTTTAATAGACTTTAGAGCTTCATATACCTCTTTTTCGGTAAAACTATTGACATTAAGGAACGGAACATTAAGTCGTGAATTTGAATTAGCAATAATAATAATTACTGACGTCATCAAATTTATGATCTAAATTGAACGATACTGGGGTGGTGAAGTATCTTGAAATAAAAATTTAAGTTAAAATCAAAATGTCGGGGTTTTTTTGTTGATTATTAAGAAATGTGATAGAAAATAAATAGATTGTCAGGTAGAAGCAGGATAGGCAGAGGCAGGACAGATACATACAGAAGAGACAGACACGAACAGCACAACAGGTAGAGATTAGCAGATAGGTACAGACTAGCAGAGAGGTAGAATCGAGCAGACAGGCAGAGACAAGCGGACAGGTAGAGGCAATATAAAGACAAGTGGAGACAAGGAGCTAACAGGAAGAGAAGACTGAAAAATTTAAAAATTAATTTTTTGTTTAGTATCAATTTTGGTAAATAATATATTTTGTAAAATTTTTAGAGCCGAACCACCCCTTTTTAAGAGTCTGGGCATGTTTAAAGAAAACATGATATACAGGGGGTTTCTATATCAATATGACTGTTTGAAGAAGTCAGCAAATCCATTGAGAATATCTAATGGAGTTTTTAGTGAATTGTTGTCACAAGACATTATTTGAGGGGATTTGGATTGTGATTTCTTACTATTTATAAATGCCCAAAATTTACTTGGATTACTAGATATCTCTTGTTCAGTCTCTTTAATATATGCTCTGTAAGAAATGTCTATTTCTAATTTTAAAGCAGCTCTTATGCGTTTGAAGTCTTTAAAGGCTTCTAAATCATTTTCTCGTTTGTATTTATTCCACATATTAGTTTTGACGCGTAACTGATTGTTTATTTCTCTAGTAAAGCACGCTGGATATTTGTTTTGATGCTTGCATGAATATTTGGGACAACATTTATCAAGAATATTATATAATTTTGCATAAAAGTATGTCTTCTGCATTATTAAAGGCGTCTAAAAATGTCCAGTCAATACTGGAAATTAAATTGTACATTAGTGGAAAATTGGCTTTTTTGAAATTATAACAGTTTTCAAAGGACGATTTCAGGTTGTTTTTTATGGTTAGTTTTTACTTTCAAGTAACGAGTAATGTCCAGAGCAGGATGATGTTTATCTTCCACTACAAATGAACGATCGAGCGATTTTTCTACTAGACATTTATCGTTAAAAAGACTAAATCCAATAGTCTATTATTATCATTAAAGATAAAGTTAGACTGAGATAAATTAAAAAGTTGAAAGAAGTTATTGATTATTGAAATTTGTTTGTTACTTTTGCCGTTACTAAGATATTCCGCGTATTTGCTGTTATTAAAATCGCCGATACCTAACAAGAAACTGTTATATAATAAATTTAAGGAACACAAAGCTTTAAAATGATGACTATATACGAGTATATTTCTATAAGAAGTGGTTCTGACTTTTGCTAACTTCATAATATATTTTAAACTAATATAGGAAATATCCATTTATTTATTTAACACGATATGACTGTTGAAAAGTACCCTTTGTGATTTATACTCCGCTTCTTGTAATTTGTGGTTTTTATAGTTTTCCAATTGATGTCACCGCCATTTCAAATTTGCACAGCGGATGGAAAACGCGCTTTGTTTCCGGATTTTGCTTTGAATTATTTCGGTTAGCACTAGCAGTAATGAACTTAGTATTCATGAACTGTAAACTTTATATTACGAAGATTATTTTAATTCCATTGAAACTTGATCATAAAAGCAACGATATTTTAGCTAATAAAAAAAGTATTTAAAATGCGACTCGATTTAATTTTCTAAATTTTAATAATATAAAAATGTTTATACATTTTACTAACCTTATTGCCTATGTCTAAGCATCTGAGCACTGACTCGCTCATACCATGATGTTCCATGGCGAGGAACATGGTGTTAAGTACAATGCACACTGTAATGGCTAATTCGAATAAGGGATCCTTAACGATTTGGTAAAGACTTTGTTGCAGTTGTAACCATCCCTCGTAGTCCATGCAGCATTGTTCGCATCCTGAACAGTTTCTATCAGGAATTTGTTGATCTGGAACAAAAACATTTTTTTAGTTTGAAATGGTAGACCAGTCGAACTAACGCATTTAGAAGGGAAAACAATTATTAATTTGTCTTTGAGAAGTGTAAATGGTAGAGAGGATAAACTGTATCCTCCTTGACAAAGTAAAATAAATCTTAGTGCTCACTGGAAAGAAAATATTTTATGAAAATATAACCCATTTACAAAGTTTCTTGTGTTTTCCTAAATAGTAAAAGCGTAAAAAAGCTAATTTGGTAAAAATAATTTTATACAAAATACAAAACAAATATTTCTTGTCTAAATATTGGAAAAGGCTTAAGTAGATTGTATTGTAAATATTTTATAATTCTTTGCAGTGAAAATTTACCTCCTACTAAATGTACTAAAAGAACTTTATAATTATAATAATTTGCACACACTGGATCAGAATATTCAAATTATTCCACCGACATTGCTTCAGAAGCTATAAAATAAATTATTCAATTTATAAAAAAGAAATCTATAAAAGTGCCTAAATTTAGAGAAAAACTTTATGCTAAAAATAATAAGTAAATTTAAAAATGTCCGTTTTTAGAAAATATTCGTAGCATATATTATTTTGGAGGTAATTAAAAGATCTAAAGTTCCAAACACATTAAAAACATAGTTAGTCGATTAATTTAGCGAAGTAGAAGACGGTTACAATCTAGTCGATAGTCAATAGTCGATTCAATTATATTTTGGGAGACCAAAAATTACATAAGTGAAAAAGCATCAGTAATAGTTGAGGTAAAATCTTATACAATATGGAATTTTTAACAAATCAGGGACAAATAATTATAATATTGACGGTGCTGTTCTACTAATTACAACATCATTAAAAAATATAAAACGATCTAGACTAAATTTTCAAATTGATGTCCATTATTCGCAACATATGAATGACATCGTTTGGAAACATTTCGAATTGCGTTATAAATATGGATATTGAAGATAGAATTAACACACTGTATAAATTTTGCATTAGTTCGTCAATATTATTAGAAGTATTTTTGTATAAATTATCTTTAATATATCCCCAAAAGAAGAAATCTAGAAGCGTTAAATCTGGTGAATGTGGTGGCCACCTACCGGTCCTTTTATCCCTATCCATTTGTCTCTAAAATGAAGATTTAATAATTTAGAGTCGTTTCTAGTATTGTGAGGAGATGCTCCATCGTGTTTAAAAAATATATATCGTCTCTCATTCAGCGTTAAGTCGTCCAAAAAACCATCTAATATGTGTTCGTTTAAAATTTCTAAATATCGTTGGCCATTTAGTTTTCAAACATAAATTTGGTAGGCTAATATGCCATTGCCCAATAGGGCACACCAAACACTAAAATCGAAACGTCCCTGTCGGATCACCAATGTCCGTTATGTCGATTGAAAATTTCGGCACTGCTTATGTAAGATTTATCTTTTCATATAATTTTTGTAAAGAATGATTGATTTCGGTTTCAGTTGTTAAGGTATCAATTGCAAAAAGACGTCGTTTGGGATCGGTTGGTTAGAGATGTTGCTGTTTTCTTATTTAGGGTCTGCAAAATACACCATATCTAATTGACGAACTTCAAGTATAAACCATAAATTCATAAATAGAAACTTTAGCGAGTTAATTTTTTTGACCAGTCCTTTACAATGGTCTTTCCAATCAAGGTATTGATCTATTTGGATTCCTAGAAAGCGAATGCTATCATTCCCACTATTGAGAATGACATTTTCAAAACCAATCTCTAGGGGCTCAACGGTATGTTGCCTGTTATGAAGTCTAAGTACCTCAGTCTTATTAGCATTAAAAAATAAATCAAGGCTATTAAAGTAACTTGACATTTTTTGAGCGATGTTGGAGCTCTCTGTGTGATTATCACCTATTGATGAGTCAACATTGTTTACATATAGTATAAACAATATGGTTCCCAAAATGGAACCATGAAGAACTCTCATATTAATATCTAGTGTATTAGAATTAATAGTGTTGATTTTGTTGTCATTTTGTACTTTTAAAGAAATATATTGCTTCCTAGCACCTAAAAAGGTTGAGATCCAATTTAAAACAGTGCCTCTGATATTGAGTTATTTAAAACTACAGTAACTAAATATTTAAAATTCGAACCATAAAGTGGCAATTACTGATACATTCACCCTACGCCACTAGATTCTTATAAAAAAAGTGCTTGAGGAGGTAAAAATTATTTTCTTCCACTTTCATAAATAAGCGAGATAATGTCACAGAGAAAATTTGAAAAAAACAACTTTTGTTTATAACTCAAAAACAAAAGGCAACAGCCAATTTTTGAAAATGCCAATTAGTTTTCCACAAAAAAAGAGATGGGAGGTCATGTTTCCATACCATTTATAGTTAACGAGATTTTCTATTAAAACATCGAAATTTGCCTACCCTGTATAGCCGCTACAAACTAAGTTGTCTGAAGTGGGGATGCGCTCCAGTCGATTTTTAATCTGAGAGTCAAATATTATGAGTATTTAACACTCAAATTTTCATTATAGTTGAGTACCACTATTAAATTTATAAATAGAAACAGAATAATTTCTAAAAACTGATAGTTGACAATTTTATGAATACATTATCATCCAATAAAATAAAAACTGTGGTTCTGTTAAAGCTAACAAAAATAGAAATGTTTCGATTTACTCTGTATTCAATACCGATAAAAGAAACCTTTTTTAAAAACGAAAAAGAAAATTACTTACTGATAACAACGATATGTGAGAGGTAATCAGGTTGAAGCGTATACACTTCCTTTTTCTTCTTGCAGCTGCCAACGCCGTTGCATTTGATTACCTTTATCTCTTTGGGACTCACAGCCACTGTAACAGGTGTCACCTCTATTCTCTGTAACAATAAAACGACGATAACTATAAAATATTCATTTATCTGGTTAGTTATGGCAAACTTTTAACCATTTTACATTCACGCTAGACCGAAGTATCATTTTGTGAATGTATACTTATTTTTAAATGAATGTTAAATTTGTGTTTTATAGAAAAAACACTCTAAAAATACAGTGTTTACCATAAATTTGGATCCATTGGGATTTTTTTTTATATTACTATTGGAATAAAAGTATTATTTTATTATTATTTTTTTAATAATAATAATAATAATGTTTATTCATCTTAAAAACATACAAATATAATATAATATAAAATATCAATATAAAATACAAAGAATGAACAAACATAAATAATCACAGAAGTATTGTTAGACCACTTGAATGTGATATTATAATATTTAAAAGGAAATAAAAGAAACAAAAATGAAAACATACGTAAAATATTTGTATCTGAATGAATATATTATTTTGGTTATTTTTAAAATGTTTGTTTTTTAGCGTTTATTTATTGGGTGTATTGTACATTCCACAAGGAAAACCTGTCTGTGGTCCGTTAATATAAAACCAATAAACATGATAAAATTAATATTTTAATTTTGAAATAATTTCCTATTTATTCACGAAAATTAAGTAGTTTTTTAAGGTAAACATATAATCTTTTTTTTTTTTGACAAAGTAGAGAATATAAAGATACGTTTACATCTGACATTTGTTGCATGAGATTTGTATCTGACACTTGTTTGGTCAAGTGTAAACACACAAACATTTCTCTTGGAGATATATGTTTGAGTGTTTACACTGGACTGAACAACTGTCAGACATAAATTTCATGCAATAAATGTCAGATGTAAACGTACCCTAAGTTTTTTTTAAGTAATTTTGCATGTATAGTTAGTTGAGAGTGTTGTAATATCCACTGTTTTATCTTTTTTTATAAAGTGTTTTAGAATTAATAATTTTCATTTCTGCATGAAGCCTATTGTATAATTTTGGACTCATGTAGGTACCAAAAACTTCTCTGCGTATTTGATTTATCTACTTTAGGTAAGATAAAAGTATGTAGCCTTGAACGAGTGTTATAATCGTATTCCTTTTTTTTTCAGTTCTTTTTTGTTATGATGCCGGCGTATGAGAAGATTTTGACAGAACAGTTGTCTAGCATCAAAGAATTTACTCTCTTCGAAGAGATGTTCTGTTGGGTAACTATACGGTTTTTTATTAAAATCTTTATGAGCCATTTTGAGTAATATTTAATTTATTTATGTGACAATCAAGTGCACCACTCCAAGCAATATTTGAATAAGTAATATGGGTTTCAGCAAGAGCGTAATAGAGTGTTCTTAGCTCATTCCATTTTAATATTTGAGAGAAAAATGTGAATGTATGCAATAGCATCTTCAATTTATTAGTCACAAAGTTGATATGAATATTCCATTTTAAGTGATTGTTAATATAGACTCCTAAGTATTTAATATTGGAAACTGCTTTAATTTCTATTCCAATATTGTTGGCTTCAATTTCGATTTTGTTGTAGTTTAGTAAAGCATTGAAATATGATGAAAATTGTGGAAATTGTGAAATTTACCGTAAGTTTTGTTGAAACCAATTAAATATATGAGGTAAGTCACTTTCAACTAATAGTTTTAAAGATACCCAGTCAGTGCTTTCATAATTAATGACGGTATTGTCAACAAAACTGATAATGGTGCTATTAGAATTAACAGAATATAAGTTATTAAGGTATACCTATATTGAATAAAATTGGCCCTTGCAGAACGTCATACACCACATTCTTTGTTTCACTAACTGTATCTTTAATTTTTATGAGAATATGAATATGACAATAATATATAGTTTCTCCCTCTAAAACCTATATTTTCCAGGTTTTTAATCAGTTCTAAGTGGCTAACTGTATCAAATGCTTTAGCGAGGTCTACGAAGATGCAGAGCGATGCCTTTTTTTGATCAATATTTTCATAGATATTTTTTGTGAGTTTAGCTATAGCATCTTGCGTAGACCTCCCCTCCCTAAAACCAAATTGATCATTAGAAATGATATATTTATTCAGGAAATTTGTGATTCTTATTTTTAAAAGTTTTTCATAAATTTTTGCAAAATTTGTTATAAGGGATATGGGTCTATAATTCGTCATATTATCTTTCTCCCCTTTTTTGAATAAAGGTTTAATTATAGCTATTTTAAATGGTGTTGGAAATACTCCGCTCTCAAACGATTTGTTCATTATACAGGGTGTCCTTTAAAATGTGTCCCAAAATTCTCAGGCAGATTCCTTAACCAAAAAATGGAAAAAAAGTTCCTATAGACCTATGTCCTAAAGTGCCCCCTAAGCGAGCAACAGCCTCTCGAAATCATTTTTTTTATTTTGATTTTTTGAATTTTCTTAAAAATGGAAACAAATAAAAGAACCAAATTTTGGCTGTTAAATATGATCAATAATAGTGACCTTTTGACACCTTCAAAAAGAAATTATTTCGTCAGGGGTGTACTTGGGAATTTTTTGAAAATTTTGATTATTCATAACTTTTTTGTGTTTTTGGTAATGACTTATCCATATTTTTTTTTACATTCTACATTGAAAACTACGTCAAAAAGGAATACTTGTTTGATCTCGATTGGAGCAGCCGTTTCCGAGAAAACATCATCCAAAGATATTCGTCCACTTTAGCTTAATTTTCAATTTTCCTAAATTACCTCGGTGAATCTCGTAAATAAAAATAACTTTTTTAGCTCTCTCTAAATAATTGTAGTTCAAATGTCGTGGTGGGACTATTTTTATTTAATAATAAGAAACGGTTTAAAAAAATATTTATTCTTAAAAAACAAATCAAAAAAAATTAAAGCAGATGCTCAATGTGGCGACCATTGGTTTCCACACACAAGCGCAACCGTCGCATCATAGACTGTCTTACACGAAAAAATACTTCAGGATTATTCCTAAGAACTTCGCAATGATGAAAAACTCGTTCTTCCAATTCTTCAACTGTTTCAACAGGACTGGAATAAACCAATGATTTTAAATAACCCCAAACAAAAAAATCCATTGGATTTAGATCTGGTGAACGAGGTGGCCAGTTAACAGGACAACCTCTACCAATTACTCTACCCTCAAATCTTTCGTTAAGGTGCTGTCTAGCTTCAAGGCTGTAATGTGGTGGAGCTCCATCATGCATAAACCACATGTTATGTCTGATTTGAATCGGAATATTATCAAGAAGCTCATGTAAGTTATTTTCCAAAAAAAGCCTGTATGCTGCTCCATTTAACCTATTCGGCAAAACAAATGGTCCAATAAGGTAATTATCAATAACTCCAGCCCAGACGTTTATTGAAAATTTATCCTGGTGGTGACGTTCAACAACCGCGTGAGGGTTATCTTCAGCCCATTCATGCATATTTCGAAAATTTATTATACCATCTCTAGTGAAACCAGCTTCATCGGTAAATAGCACTTTATTAAGAAACATTGCATCTTGATTACATCTTCCAAGAAACTATTCAGAAAAGATAACTCGCGGCTCATAATCAGTAGCTTTAAGTGCCTGAACTTTTTGAATGTGGTAAGGGTACAATTGTTGTTCACGCAAAACTTTCCATACCGTGTTACGTCCGACTCCCACTTCTGAAATTAAATGAGAGAATCTGTGTAGTGAATAGTTAAGAAAGAGAATCCATTGATTTGGGAAATCAGATTTTTTCTGCATAACGCAACTCTTTTCGATACGAAAAGTCGTGAAATGTAAGAGAAGCAATAACAAGTAAAAAAACTAGTTTTATACGATAAGGTACGGGGTAGCTAAAATAATAAATAAGTAATTACTTACCATTTGCTATTTTTCTGGTACTTGTCGATGGGGTTTCAGCTACCCTATCCAAAATTGCTTCTTCCAAAGCAGGAGTTCTCACATAATTTTGTCTTCCACTGTTACTAGAGTTTTTCTTAAATGTACCAGTTTCCCGAAGTCTATCGTCAATTCTAGAAAACGTCTTAGCGCATGGAAGATGCCTATTTGGAAAGCGCTCCTGATAAAGTCTGCGAGCTTCATTGGCATTTCCAGAAGCGAGTCCAAAACATAAGTGCATGTCCGTCATTTCGCCGAATGTGTAATCATTATTGTAGTTATTGTGAGCCATTTTAAACAAAATAATAACAATACAACGAATCGCACCAGAACACTTTTAGAAATAATGTTTAACTGAAGAAACATTTTTATCAGTGAGCGAAAAAAATTATCCATGAAACACAGAAACGCCAAAAAAATACATATTTTTACTTTTTTATTCTAAACAGCTAAATACAAACCTTATGGTCTTCATAATAAATAAATGGGAACTAAATTTTTAAATTTTATTTAGAGAGCTAAAAATAGTATACAGGGTGATTGATTAGTGTGAGGAAGCTCTGTAGATCTGTTATAATAAAAGTAGGCAGCTTTAAGCTTCACATTTTAAAATTAGTTACGATGTGACAGGGTGTTTCATAAGGCCGTGCCAAATCAAAGTTATGTTTTTTAAATGGAACACCCTGTATATTTTTATATTTTTAGAATCTGCTCGATAATCTGATTTCAATGATATATCACACTTGTTATCTAATATGAATAGTAAAGGATCTACAGCTACTCAAAAATCACATTTTTTCAAATTCAGGTGGCTGTTGTAGCCAAACAGTTGGAAATCGAGGAAAACGGCTTACAGTCCCTATCCTAACTTTTTAAGGTCTATTCAGTGACATAAAATACATATTATTTGATACAGGGTGATCAAAAATCCAAAATCACATCCGATTTTTGATCACCCTGTATCAACTAATATTTTCTGCCACTGAATAGACCTTCAAAAGTAAGGATAGGGACATGTAAGCCGTGTTCCTCGATTTCCAACTTTTTGGCTACAACAGCCAAAATTGAAAATTAACCTATACTGCACGAATATCTTTGGATGATGTTTTCTCGGAAACGGCTGCTCCAATCGAGATCA